GTGTGTGTGTGTGTGTGTGTGTGTGTGTGTGTGTGTGTGTGTGCGTGTGTGTGACAGTGATGATCTAGATCATCATGAGCTGCAGCAACATAAACTACAGAAGGTTTTCACAAACGTGTCCAGGTTGAACTGATAGACTTGACAACGCAAAGGTGATGATGAGAGTTGGTCTTAAAGAGAATTAGATCCTCGTCAACACTGCAGCTCTTTCAACTGTGATCACAGAAGTTTGGCTCCAGCCCTCAGCTGATTGGTCGACCCTCCATGAACTGTGCCGGCCGGCTGCAGGTCGTCCTACTGACCTACTTCAGCCCCAGGATGAGACAGAAAACAGAAAAACTGAGACGTGCAGCAGCCGTGATGTCAGGGCGCAGCTTTCATCAACGCTTCACCGAGCATCACAAGCGTCTGTCATTCAGTGTGTGTGTGTGTGTGTGTGTGTGCACAGCTTGTTTCCCTGCTGATGACAGACACATGTGTTGCCCATTTCCTCTGTTTAGTAGCAACCCTGACGACTCTGACCCACTTTTGCGAGAGAGAAAGGTAGAAACAAGCGAATCGAGGGAGAGAGAGAAAAAAGAAACGAGCTGAGAAGGAGAAGTAAAGAAAAAAAGAAGCAAAGAATGGCACACGAAATGAAAAAGAGATGATGCAGGCACATCTGTGACAGATGTGGTTCGTGTGATGCCTCAGGGGAGCTGCCAGTGATGAAGACGTTTCCAGAAAACCAATGAGGAAGAAAACCCAAGTGCCTGTCTTTCTCTGCGTTTGATTGACATGTGAGAAACTCGAGTCTGGAACCACAGGATCGCTCAACACATCTGTACTTGACCAACACAAGTGTGTGTCCTGCTGGATGAGTCAGAGAAGAGACGCAGAAGCCAACGTTTGAGATTCACGTCTCTGAAAAATTCCATCCGGGTAAGTGAAATAAAATAATCTTCTAAGTTTTTTTTAATAATGTAACATTTACACAAAAAGCTAAATTCAGTGAAAGACGATTATTTTTAAACTCATTCCTTCAAAGAAAATCAATGTTTTTAAGGTTTAGTTTGTTTCTCATGATGACATCAATTCAAGAAGTTCAGTCGATTCTCCCAGTGGTGCTTTTAATTCAGTCCAGATTCTGCTGCTGCTCGAGCACAATGGCCACGGAGCTGTTTAGTGCCACACACATCTAATGGGACCATCCAAAAAGAAACAAACAAACAGACATATTGCACAGATCCCATGCATCTGTATACTCTGACATTAGAAGGATGACTTGCAGAGAAATGTGCAAAGAAGTCATTTAACTTGTCAAAGTAGATTTGGACTTGTCCCAAATGCATTTCACCTTGAGCTTTAAAAACAGAGCCCTAAAAGCTTTTCCACTGTTCGAATGCTGTCGTTCCTACAGTCTGACAGAGATGTATCTAAGAATCACAAAGAGACCGTCTGAGTTTGCAGTGACGGAGGCTGTTACCAACTAAACAAATCCATCTGTGTGCTGTGTTTCCACAAATCCCTCTCTGATGAAGCAGAAGCTGAACATGCGACTACACGTCTGGCTGCTCCATCTGAAAACACTCAGCTGCAATTAGACCTCAACACTGTTGAACACTGAGCCGCACTGTGGATTCATAAGATGATGGAAATGATTTCAAGTGGTTTCAGGTGAGATGAAGAAAAGCTGGTTCCACAAAGTTAATGACAAACACATTAAACACTTCCTCTACTTCTTTATCTTCATCTCTGAGAACGGACACTTCTCTTTTCTACAAAGCACAATTGAAATGCAGGTTTGCTCATTTTGGTTTTTCATTTCTAAACTGATGTTTAGATGTTTTAGGTCTTGTTTGATGATATAACGATGAGCTGAGACAGGTCACACTGGTCGTGGGTTATTTTCATACTGTGGGTGGAGGTTGAGACGTGTTGTCCATGTTCAGTCATTGATTCAGAATCTTTCTGGTCTCAAACAAGCAAACTCAGCGAGCCCATTATTCATGACTGAGTCATCAGAGGACGGTGGTTTGTGGTTTTTGGTCTTTTAATTAAGAGCTAATGCACCGTGAGTGACAGCTGTGCTGACTGAGCTCCACAAGATGCTGATTCAGTGACAGTGGTGTTAACTCCTAAAAGATTTGTTTATACGTTTACTGTGACGTCCCCTGACCTCTGACCTCAGCTCTCACTTTAAAAGAAAGATCCGAACTTTAACAATCATTAAAAATACTCACTTAAAATAACTAAATCCTCACATTTATCATATTTACGTGTTTGCATGTTTGCGTGACTGTGTGGAAAAATCTCAACATCTTCACAACGACTGATGTCAGTTCAAGATGGCAGGAGGGATGTTTGTGTGTGGAAGGTATTAACAGGTCTGATCCTGTCCTTGTGACTCATGGGGGGGGGGGGGTCTCTCTGTCTGTCCTCTGCCTGTCCTCTGTCTGTCCTCTGTCTCCTGACCTGCTCCACACAGACCCATGACTCATGACATTATTGTGCTGAGGTGGCGTCCCCAAACATCCCACTAAGCTCAAATTAAAACCAGGCGTTTGCTTCAGGGAATGTTTATGAAAAGCACTTTTACCAAAGAAGAACAAATACCTGAAGTTTGTTTTGGAAAATAGAGACGGGCACCAAAGAAAACACACAAAGCTGTGAAAGAGCTCCGACTAAAACAGAACGAGACGGACAGAACCGTGATAAAGACGGAGAGATGGAGTGTGATGAAAGAGAATACATCAAGTGATAAAAGAAGGAAAGATTAGGTTTCTTCAGAATGATTAAAAATAAATATCATCAGTTCTCATCATTTACTCAAGTGAGTGGTGACTCTGAATCGTACATGACAAACGAATGAGATAATAAGTGCACACGTTACAACGACCTACAAATGTCATGAGTGTTATATAAGCTTTGCAGTGAAGCAGCTCCTGGACAAAGAAAAGACGTCCATCACTTCCAGCGTCTGTCAACAGCTGATCGCTCCTCTGCACTTTCTCCGCAGCGTCTCCAGACTCTAAAGACGTGATAGAAGCTCTGGAGTGTTTACATCTGAAACATCATGACGCACGACGGAGAGGTTGACGCCTCAATGAAGAATTTAACATTTCACAATGTCGAGGCGCTGTGGACGTCACAGTGAAGACAAAGACCCCCCCCCCACTACTCACCGGTGCATTGATCTTGATCAGAGCGATGTCGGCCTTCTCGTCAATGTCTTTAATCTTTGCGTCAAATGTGGCTCCGCTCTTCAGCTCCACCTGGAGGATGAGGAGAGAGTTACTACTTATTTATCAATCCTTTAAATGTCATTGTACACTTGTAAATTCTAAATGATCTAGAAATGTAAGATATTGTTCTTTCACCAGGTTTTTCATATCGTACCTTTACTCTGTGCTTGTTGGCCACGACGTGGGCGTTAGTGACGATGAGTCCGTCCTCTGACACAACGAACCCGGAGCCGCTGGCGACCGCCACCTCCCGCTTGGAGAATATCATCCTGAGCAGAGAGAGATACAGAACATAAAGATGAAAATCAGATAAAGATTAAACTCAAGTTACAATCCTTCCTTTGAACGCTTGTTTGAGACAGATGAATCCTGAAGTCACACTGGTCCAAACGTGGAACATGATACAAATGATGGAGTCTCATGTGGTGAGACCACAACTCTCACAGTGATGGTAACCATCTTGGCTCCGAGTTGTAAAATCCCATTTTGTTTTCTCATTCGTCCATGAACGCAGCATTGTGCAGGAGGGAAACCACACAATGTGGCAGCTGATGTGACATGAATGGAATTGCAACAGTAAGATAAACAGTTTTTTATTGTCCGGAAAGACGAGTATCAGTGTGTGTGTGTGTGTGTGTGTGTGTGTTGGTGAATCAGGAAGCTTGTCTTACTTGCGGTACAGTTCAATATGAACCACGGCCGGGGCAATCTTCTCCACCACGTCAGCGATGAAGTTGTACTTGTAACGAAGACTGTCGGGGTCCTGCTGACCTGAAAGTGAGAAAACCCACAGTCATCAAACTGTATCACACACACACACACACACACACACACACAGACACAGACACACACAGACACACACACACACACACACACAGACACAGACACACACATACACACACACACAGATGAACTGTGAATCTCGTTAATCTGTGCAGTGCACGTTCAGACCACAGTGACCGAGGAGAAAATTGTGGCCTTGTGTTGCCAGGTTGGATAAAAACGTCAGCGTCAGAATGTCTCCGACTTGTGAGAAAACATCATCACTCATCGTCCGTGGTCGGGGGGGATGCTCTGCCTGAGTTTCCTGAGTTTCATCAGAAGCGTGACAACGGCACGCGGTGCAGCGGGATGTGACCCAAGCTGCTGCTGTGTTTGACCTGATCCAGATGTGCAGTATATAAACTGGAAACGTTCTGCGGCTCCACTGATGCTTATAAAACTAAGGAAATGACTCAGAGGCTGTTAGAATGTTTTCTGACATAATTCTAATATTTCACACGTAACCACCACTGTCACCTTACATAACCAACCAACATCTGTCACAGCTGCAGATCTTTCTCTTCTCGTGTCACTACTCTCTCACTCCGACCTGCTGGAACCAGTTACTGTAGGTTCAGGTCCGAGACTCATGTTGTCTCAGAGCAGTGAGATGAAGAGGCAGCACACTACGATGATGAGACCAAACAAACTCGTGTGTGTATGTGAGGAGAACTTTCATCAATCAAACTACTTCAACGAACCCACTTCATCCGCAGATAACGTTTTGAACCAGGGTGTAGATAAACAGTGGACGTTAAGGTTATATCGAGAGAAACCAGTCAGACAGAGATGTAACATTATACTGATGGTTTTCAGTGCAGCAAAATACTGTAATCCAATAAAACTGGTGTCATTTCAACAGATGCACTAAACTACAAACTTGTACTTTGCACCAAAGTTCAGTTGAGACACAGTGTGGACTCGTGTACGGCTGGATTGGGCCTCAGTGAAGATATGAGCTCAGAGTGAACATGTGAGAGTCTTAGTTTGGGTTTTTTATCATCACGTCATATCAAACTTGAATGTTTCAATCATTTAACCTTTCAGCCTCCATCAGTTAACGACTGCCTCACGGAGGACTGTGAAGTCTTTAGGCTGAAGAAATAAAAGTTTGTAAATGTATATCACGGCTGACAGAGTGAAGTGGTGAAGACGTGTCCTCACATCTCAGCTGATTCTGAATCAGATCCTCTGGTTCCACAGAGTGATGATGATCTTTGTTCTCTGGTTAAATAGGTCAAGTCCATGGAATCTGATCAAATGATTCTGGCTCAGAAACAAACCTGCAGCAGCACGTTCTCCAGCCCTGCATATGGAAGTGTGTGTGTGTGTGTGTGTGTGTGTGTGTGNGTGTGTGTGTGTGTGTGTGTGTGTGTGTGTGTGTGTGTGTGTGTGTGTGTGTGTGTGTGTGTGAGCTGCTGCAGCTTTGAAGTTTAGCTGAATGGAGCCAGTCAGATAAACTCAGAAACATCCCGAGCACAGAAATACTGAGGTGAAACAAAGCTTCTATCAGCTACAGGTCAACAATCAGAACGCAGACGAGCGTGGTCCTTGAAAGCACCAAGGACGAGTTCAAGTGCATTTTCACATTGTCACAAAATGACGTTAATATTTTTCTCTCTGTAAAACTCCACACAAAGAACCCATATGACCATGTGCATCCAAACAGCTTGTTTCTCTGTGTCAATGATTGCAAACATTGATTAAAAAAACATTCTTTAATAAAACAGAAAATAAATCTGTGGACGTTTTTAGTTTAAATGTTGAAATATGTATTTTGCAGATGCACATATCTGGTTATAACCAGTTATACAGTTACAAGTGTTTTTTTCAGCTCAAACAAACCATCTATGAAAACCCAGCGTTATCCTGTTTTGCACTTTTATAAGAAATGTCATTACGAGCTGGACGAGCCTGAACTGGGGAAAAAATTCCTCCAGTTCCTGAAAGAGTTGAGTCACCGTGCGACCGTGTTTTGTTGATACTGTATCTACGCCTGCCAATCTGACAAACAGCTCACAAGTCTGCACAGGAAGCAGGAAAAATTAAGAAAAAACATTTTGATCCGTTCAAATCTGGGTTAGAAAAGTCTTTGACCCAGATCTGTGTCTGTTTGGTCAGTTACACAATCGACCCATCGGCTCCAGGAGATGAATCACGACTAAAGACTTCACGTGGCTTGTGTTTGTGTGACACTGACATCTTCCAGATTTCTGACCTCGGCTCAAGAGGCTCAAATCCCCAGAAAGAATTGATTCAAGAAACTGGTTTGGAGAGGGAACTAGAAAAATGGGAAAGAGGAGAAGAGAAAATGAAGCAGATACAAATGTGGGAGGAAAGGAGAAGAAACAGACAGATGAAGAGAGAAAGAGATTCTGACCTTGTTGAACTCTGACAGAAATAAACTGCATCAGCAAACTGGTGTGTTTACAGCTGCAGCTTCAGTGTGTGTGTGTGTGTGTGTG